TTAATAACTCTGTAAATAATGGTCTGAGCCAAAATTGAAAGAGGAACTTTTAGTTCAAAATTTCATTCTCTTTCACACCTTGAAATATTAATTAAGCGTTACGGGACACCCTGTATATAATTAAAAAACAACCATTTATCAAAATAAAATTATAATAACACAAAACTTGACCGACTTTATAGACTTCCTCCACTTATCTCCGACGATTAATAATTTATACAAAAATACAATTCAGATTACAATTTAGACATTACAGATGTAACAAGCTTGATTATACCAGAAGAGCTTCCAACGATATTATCTTTGATATATTCTAATATTCCACCACTTAGAAAAGTTAAGTATATTATAGAATAAAATATTGTTGAAAACTTTTTACATGTATAACCATGTTAACTTATATAAATGTTTGTAAAATTCTATAGGAACCGATTCCAGACTTGGCATAGGTTTTCGATTAGGTGAACATGCGGATTTTCAAATTCTTATTGAATTGGGACCACAAACCGAGACAGATCCAATAGGTACATCCAATGATGCTAAGAGACGACGAGATGTAAGAATTTGCACAATTTGTACACTAAACTCTCGTTTACATTTATTTAATAAAAATTTTTTTTATAAATAGGCGGCATTCAGTGCCGCGATGAAGGGAGAACTAGGACCATTGGCACAAGCAGTGGCTAAATATCAAATAGAACGTAAAATTCAAAAAGAAATGGATAAACTTAAAGCTATGGAGGAGAAACTTAAGAATATTGAACCGGAGAATACAAAGGATCAAGATGTAAGAAACTTATATATTTCTAATTATATATTTCTAATTTTTTAAAGATAACTTAAAAGAGAAATTAATTTTTATTTATTACAAATTAATGATCTCTTATTTATATTATATAAAATTATTTATTCATATAATTTAATAACTTACTTAATAATTTGTTAAAATAATTCTTCAAAATTCCAAAGAAGTGAGTACGTTTCTATACACACAAGATCAAATATATAAAAAATTTCTAAATAATAATAAAAAACTTTTCAATTTTCTTAGACTGTTTCCAGTGACTGGTTAACAAAGTGGAGGAAAGAAATATCGCAATCATCAAAAAATAATATGTCATTAAGTTCTGCAATAAAAAGAAATAATAAAAAATAAAATAAAGAATATAAAAAAATTCTGAATAATAATAATGAACTTTTTAATTTTCTTAGACTGTTTCCTGCAGTGACTGGTTAACAAAGTGGAGGAAAAAATATCGCAATTATCGAAAAATAATTTGTCATTAAGTTCTGCACTAGATAGAGATAATAAAATAGTCTAATAAAGAATAGAAAAAGCACTAGTTAAATCCGTCGTTTGAAAAGATAAATTATATATATACACGGGTGCGCGTATGTACATGCTTACACACACAAATGTGCAAGCACATTTTATCCTGGGAACTTGAGATGTGGGATATTCTGCGGCGTCTACAATAAGATTTAAAACTTAAGATTTCAAAAAATTGACCAATCATAGTCGATTATTCATCTCACGTGAAAAGAATAATCAATTGTGATTGGTCAATTTTCTTAAATCTTAAGTCTTATTGTAGACGCCGTTTAATTAAAGCCATGGCACATAGAAAAACTTAAGACCTTACGTTTCATCAATCAGATTTAAATAATTTTGAAAGAGATTGCGCGCACAAATTTTGTTTATGTATTAAATATAACCTGAAAGAACTGCCGATTGCAACAAATATACAAATATATGTGCTATTAATCCTAATCATATAAGGTTCGAATAATTTTGACAGAGGTCGCGCGTGTAGATTTTGTTCACATAATTAAACATAATCTGAAAGTACAATTGTATTAATAATAAATATTAATGTATAAATTAAGTATTAATAATAAAAAATATAATTAAGTATAAATAACAATAAAAGTAAATATAATTAATACATAGTCTATTATAAACTTTCCCCTGTCTCCCGTATACGTCCAGTTCTCTGTCTCATCTCCCACAATGTCTCCATTCAATATTGTCCATCCCCTTTCCCTTATACAATCTAACCTTATCCTGTCTTTCTGTCCTTTGATCTTCTCAGTTCTTCCTTCTCCTCCACCCCCTTTTCCCATATTCTTCCTTCCTTGTTTCCTGTTCTGGCGATGAAATCCTTCTTCTCTTATTATCGTCCTTATTCCTTCTTCATTCATTCCTTCATCTTCTCTAGTTTCTGCTGATCCACATCCCCATTTACATACACTCCCACTATCTTTACCTTTCCTCCATCATACTCTATATCACCCATCATTATCCCCTCTAGCTCTGAGCCTTCTTTCTGTATCTTTATTTCCATCTCTTTCCTTATTCCTAATATTCCCCCTATCGCCCTTCCTTTTTTGTTCTTTCTCTTTGCCCTTTGTATCCTCCATACATATTCCTTTAGCATTTTCTTCTTTACCCTGTCCCATCCCTTTTCCTCCATCCACGTTTTCATTAATCTACTATCACTAATTCCCACCTTTCTAAATTTTTCCAAAGCTCTTTATCCTTGTTCTCCAATCCTGCCACATTTCAGAACGCTATTTTTATACCTTTCTCTTTCCTCTCTCTTTCCCAGTCCCTTTTTTCCATACCTCCAACCCCGCTTTTCCGTCTCCTTCTTGCTTCTCCCCTTCTGCCCTAGTTTTTCTATTCCCCCTGCTTTCCATCTTCTCTTTCCTTCTTCCCTTATTTTCTCTCGATTTCGGCTCTTCCCAAAACCTCTCTCCATCATCCCTCAATTTCTTCCTCTTCTCATCCCACATCCACCACACTCCGTCAATCCATACCCAGCACTGCCTCACTCTTACTTTTTTTCCAAGCAGTTTCTCCTTCCATGCCATCCTCCTAACGTTTTACTTTATTCTCCTTTCCTCCCAAGTCAAGCTTTCTATCCATACTTCTTTCCTTTTTAATTTTCCTTTGCTCGCTATAAGATCTTCCTTTTCATGTCCTCACCACAGTATAACCAGTAGGTCCACTCAGCGAAAAACTGAGTCTTCGCGCAGGTATCGCCGCGCAACTTTTGTTTTGGGTTGGATCCAATGAAATGCAAGACGATAGGAACGTACATACATATGTGCAAACAATTTATAAGCAATTACATCAGAAATTTTCTTTAGTGATCACTCCTACGAATAATTGTTACTAA